AATAATAATAATAATAATAATAATAATAATAATAATAATAATAATAACAATAACAGAAAGTGATAAAACTTTAATAAAATAATAATAACTATAATAACCATAGTAATAACAACTATAACAATGACTATAACAATAACTATAATATAACTATAATAATAAAAAAATAATAACAGAAACGATCAAAATTTTAGCATTTTGACTTTTGTTTTTTTGCAGGCCTTGTGCATTCCTGCAAATGTTGGATGCCCGCAGCGTACCACCACTGAGCTGAACACGTTCCTGTCACGTCAGGTGCATCGGCGGCGTAAACGGCGTCATTCACCAACAGAGCTTTCGACAACCATTAAGAAAAAATTTCTTGCTCATACGGATTTCAAGTAACTAGCAGCACTGCATTCGAACTGCGGATATCTGTGATCACTTTTTGATATTGATATTTTGCTTCTCATTTTACCGCTCCGTAGCATAATTTACTAAAAATTGCTGTACTGATGGATGTGGAAAGTGTAAATTGGGTTTTTGATTTGATGAAAAAAATGAGGTCGAAAAGTGAAGTGTGGAGGAAAATGTTTATGGGAGAAGAGGAGGGGGGAGGGAGGGAGGGAGGAGAGGGGGGAAGTAATTGAGGGATGGGGGAGGAGTTGCAGGGCGAGGGGTGCGGGAAAGGGGCGGGCGCGGGGGTTTTTTGAAAAAACATTAGGATGTTACATTGACTAATAGGACTTACAAACAACTAAAATGTAGGGAGGGAATGAGAAAAAACATGGGAAAATGAGAGGAAAAAAGGCGATGCAGAGGAGGCCACATTAAAGCGTAGACTTTGTGAAATGGGAGATGGAAAAAGGGGGAGGGGGGAGGAAAGGAGGGGAAATTTTAGTGGAATTGGAGGCGGGGTAAGGGGAGGGGCTAAGGAGAAGGTGCTGCAAATTTTTACAAAAAAAAAATCGTATGTTGAATTTTTCTTTCGATTTTTTCAGGCTCATGATTGAGATTCTTTCATTCGATTTTAGAACTTTTCCCGTGATATCCGGAGGGAGGCCCTGGAAAATCGATTGTCTGGATCACAGATCCTTACAGGTGGGTATTGCTAATTCCCAGTTATTTTAGGTCCTTGATGTTGCTTGGAAGGGGGGGGG